AAAGAATGTCACTCTTCCACGAGAAGCGAACAGTTCAGCCGGCGTCAGTCCAGTTGACTCTGTTGGGTGAAAGGCAATGAGGAATTGCCACTACCTTGACCGCTTGGACGGAACTGCCTCCAAGAAGGAAGGCCATTCCTTTTTTTCTGTCTGGATGGTAAACGGCGGCGGCGAAGGCAGCGGGTGCAGAAACGAGTGCCGCCACCGATGGGGTAAGGTCACTTGCAGCTTATTGACAATCGTAGGGGCTATGCAAGTAGTGAAGGTGGGAACTTCGCATCAGTTGCTGTAGCAGCTCTAGTAGCGACTCAACGGTGCTGACTCGTCAATTCTCTTAATGCACCACCGTTCATAGCATCGACTACGAAGAAAGTATCTAGCTTGAAATGCTTTTGCTCATTTTGCTTTTGTCCAATATTTGCCCCCTAAGAGTTACCCTAGTCGAGCAGCAAGCATCAGTATCAGTCACACTAGAAAAGTGGCTTTCTTAGGTGGCATGCGACCTTTGCGTGCCCGTATTGCCTTACTATTAAGGTCTATTCAGTCCACGCTTAGAGCGTGGATGAGACTAACGAACTAAAATTGCACAGGACAACGGCTGCTGGTAGACCACCCAGGAAGATTTACAATAATATATGCGACAAAATAGACCATTGCGAGTAGTACGCAAGTTTCTTAGACTACTGCGCAACAGGACGACTTGGCAAAGTACACAGACTTGAGTTCCGAATGTGTACAGCGGATAACGAGTGGGTGTACCCGTGTGGTGCAATTACTTGCTTTTATTTTTCTAAAGCAGGCATATTGCATGACGTACGATCAAGCCAATCACGTTTATGCGTTGCTTGTCAGTTGAGGTAAACGAACAACGGTAGACAATAGGCCGATTCTGTTGTAGCAAGAGCTGAAAGCTGCCGGCGTTGGCATTTGTTTGTGGTATGTTTGTGTGTGGCATGGTGTTTGTGACGCAAAATTAAAACGGTATGTCGAATTTTACACCTGTTAATATATCATTCATTATGGTAGCGCTACTTTTGCGCACTTTTCACCTACAATTTTTTCAGATATCTGTACAGGTAGATAGTCAGGGACAAAATGTTTAATAGGCCATCTGTTGTACTCGTGAATCATGTATTCCATCGCTTACATCGGTTTGGGTTCCATCCAAAACCACCTGTTTTAATGGGCGGCTCTTGTGAGCGACTCCCAATAAATAAGGCCATAAATAAAATGACTATGTATAAACATGGGTATGGGGTGACGAACAGTAATTCTTTAGCCCTTCTATAAAAGTCAACAAAGCTCACAATTCCAACAACAACAGAAAGCTGGGTCAGCCACTCAGTCTATCATCCTATTCGCATCAGCATCAGTCGTCGCAAGGTTCGTGTCCTCGTAGCCTTATCAAGCCAGTTCTCGCTGGGACGCAAGACGAAGTTGTGTACAGTCCGCTTACATTTAATCGTTTAGCGACGCTATTACCAAGTCCGCTAGGTTGTACGTGCCTATTCCATGTGCCATCGGCATAGGCAAGCTGTTGACCATTAGCTTATTCTTTCGTCAGGGAAAATAATAAGCTAAATCACTTCAAACATAGCATGCCAAGCTAGATGCTGCAACAGCAGCAATAACGTTTTCACTTGCCCCACTATTACCCCCCGATAGCGCCGTCGGCTACCGCTGCAAACCTATTACTTGTTCAGTCTTGGCGAGACGATCAACCTAGCGCGTACAGCGTACATCAGGGTATGGGTGACTGCCGCACAGGATGACCAAAAACTTACCAGACCAAGCCAACTTGGACTAGCCCATATACCCACCGTTTCATCTGGCCGATGGCTAAACCTGCTACGAAGTTCGTTAATTACTATCAATAAATGGGCTAACGTAAAATTGTAAATGCTATTTAAGAGAAGGTTTTAGGGGCATTAATAGAAGAAACTAAGTATAGGGGGCGACAGTGTTAGCATCAGCTAGGTGGTTTGAAGCAGGAACGGATTTCGTTCTTAGTTTTGCTAGCATACCCAACAGCTAGTTAAGAGTCGATTGGGAAGGCATAGGCAGCGAAAGCAAGCAATGAGCCCATTTTCATTTGGTTAGCTGACGGCACTGTCGAGCCCGGGAACGAGATCGATGGTGGAGCTTGAGCGTAATCGTAGTAGCGGCAGCAGCGCGTGCTTTTAAGAATGGTATGCATGTTCTAACTGGAGTTAGCCTTACCAATGGAATCGCGATTTTGAGAGTGGATCTGGCGCTCTGCAACATAAAATAACCAGCGTCTGGCGTTCTGCCGCTCCCATATTCCGCTGTTCCAAGTCTGGTCCCACTAAAATCCGGTAACTGCTGCGTTTGCCGCACCATCGCACCAGCAATGCAACAAAAGCTAGTATAGAAATAGTATCCAGGACTAAGACAGTAGCAAGGAAGCGAAAATCGCGTTATGGATAGTTTTTTTTAGTTTTCTTGCACTTTGTCGTGGTTGGCTCCTTCGTTGCCTCTTCTTTTTCTTTTGCTTCCCTGGAACGCAGTAAAAAAATTAACTCCTTTACGCTGGATAGTGTCGATTACAGCAATAGGCGACAGCGACAGTGGTAGCGTAAGGCGGATGTCGCCGGAACGGCGCGGTTGGACGAAAACGCAGTAGAGAGGACTGGGCAATCCGACTAGTTGGACCACATACGATGGGCAAATATCGAAAGAAAAAACCAACCAGTGTGTTACAAAGACTCGAACAACAGCAGCGGTGCCGCGTAGTAATATTGCAGTTACTGCGACTAGAAGCAAGATAGCAGCGAAACATGGTGGCACAAAGACGTTGTTTTACATCGAGTAAGCCGACCTTTATATGTTTTAGAGTTAAAAACAGTCGCTTTAAATTATATGGTCGTATGAATGACGCTATGGTTAATTAGATTAATTAGGTAGAGAGCAATTTGGCAAATGATTGTAGGTAGTCAGTTTGGGAAAACGTCGCTCAACAGACTAGAACGGACCTAATAATATAGGCGAAAAATAAGATACGTATGTTCTTGGTTAGTCAAATGCTCTAATGTCTTTTCGATTTTCTTTGAGTTTTGCATAGTAGAAAACTACGGAGTTCATAGGTCTAGTACGATTTAGATATACTGTATCAGCAAACGGCCGGTTCACTGATGAACACGTACGCAATAATGCCTTAGTGGTCAGATGGTCGATTGGTTATTGGATGTCCTGGATGGTGCCTGGCTAATATTATCCACCAGTGTGCTTCGTTCAAAGAAGGCATAGAATAACAGGGTCGGACTGCGAGTGTGAGAGTGGCGGAGACCTAGATATCTAGTCGGCCGTGCTGCTGAGCCAAGCGAAGTACGTTGCCCACCATCCGAGTTTAGTGGACACGTCTGAACCTGCGAGAGGATGAAAGCTTCAGGAGAGCGTACGTGCCTCCTCAGTGTCCTTCCTTTCCCAGGCAATAGCCTAAAGGGGTAGGACGGCTGCCTGCCTTTTTCCTCAACCAGGTCATCCCAGTTCAGACCAGACCGAGCCAACAAGGGCAACTCCGCATCCGCCTCCTCAGATCTATTACTATCTTTGAGACCATGTTCCATGCTATGCTCAATGGCCACACAGCCCGATTCCATCATTGCCATCAGTGCCTCTCAATATATTTCAGAGTTTCCAGCTCAAGAGGCTTCGCGGCCACTTGATATGATATAAGAAGCAAGGATGGCCAGCTCTGACGGCTAGGGCAACCGTCTGTTCCGACAGCTCGTTGCGTCTGCTTGCGGCTGCCACGACGGTCCATCGATTCAAGCGGGTTAACGCGGCCGGAAAAGAGGGGCTAAAGTACTCGAAGTGGAGGACCATGGGACGCGTTCAAGATTTGAAATCGCTTGGGTGTTTGCCAGGGGCTAGGGGGGACAGACTCTCATGTCGCCATAGAGCCAGTAGTAGCAGTAGCTCTGGAACTGAACAGATGTGACCTCAGTTTGGTTCGATTGCCACCAGCCTCCGCTTTGGTTCTGACGGACGATACAAAATGAAATATCAATCCATAGGAGATCAAATACAGCTGCCCGATCCCCTACCTGTTGGTAGTACTCGTCCGACCATATTTCCATGGAACATGAGTCTGCTCTATTGAAATAGATACACAGAGGGCGAAACGAAGACTTCTCAGATGGCGGACCGCTGGCTGGCTCGCTTGCTGGCGACGGCTCACTGATCAACGCATTCATAAGCTAGGTCAGGCGAAACTTGCTGGAAATAGTGTCTCTCCATGTATGTAACCGAAAAATTTTTTTCCCAATCATGTAGACCTTTCTTGAGGCGCCTTCCTATGAGATGATATTGAAGTGAACTGCATTAATATACTTCTGTGATGTGCGGAAAATATACACACAAATGACATGACCAACGTATCGAGTGAGTCTGGCGCGGCTAGCCGATATTTTTTGTATAAAATGAAATCCACGATGTTTGTTTGACTATAATGCGTACAAACCACAAATATAATGATATATCGCCGGTTTCTATAGTAACAAAAGTATAGTATAGCACATCGTATAATGTAGTTATCGGAGTTTTCAACACACAGGCTAGTGGTCGCAACAAAATTTTCTTGGCAAACATTGAACACTGCTTGTCCTGAACTCATAATAGGGCATTTTTTTCCACTTTATTAACTGAGCTTACTACTTTTGATTGAAGATCAGTCGATTTATTAGACAACGACTACCGACTACACTATATTTCTCCTAAAGAGAAAATCGATGATGTACGTCTAACTTGACGAATTACGTTGTTTGCCACTGGTAAAATTTTAGTTATCGTTCTCTTGACGTAACTGCCGCTGTCGAAAGATACAATTGACAGGGTATGTGCTTTTCGTGGATAAAACATACGGGCATAGCGTATGAGCCATTTGAAAAGTTATTCACCTCAACATAATGCCTTCATTTGGACGTATTTATCAAAAAAAAAATGAAATAAATGCAATCGCTTTAATATAATTTTTGCAGGAATAGGCGAACGTAGGTTGTGCAGTATGCAACGTCACCACAAACGTCTGTACACAACGGCTCCTTCTACGATCAGACCATAGACAAAGAGAAAGCTCTCTAACCGGCTTCTTATCAAACCATTTTCTGCAAAACACGCTGAGATTTATGGCTTTAATAACGTCACTTAAATTTCTCTAACAGAGTTCAACCTTTGAGGCTGACTGTATTATTATACAATAGAAGTTTTTTCCCTTGTATAATAAACAATTTTTCTCCAAAACTGTTTTTCCTTGTATTAAAGAATTAACGTTTTTTACAGCAGGAAAAGTCTGATCTCTAGAATCACATGGTAATCATGTACCCAGAGCAGCTAAATGCTATTTATCTAAGATATTTAGAACCAATTTATATTTTTATTTATCTTGGATGAATGAAATTTAAAGCTACTAATCAATCCATGGAAGACCTCAGAGTCGATACCTTAATTTCATTCCTATAGGGCATATGTTAGCGTATGTTTGGTTCGCATTGGGGTTGGCCCGTTATCACATATATATATATGTGATAACGAATCCATAATCGACGCGCTCTCTGCTTGAGGGTTACATATACACAACACGCGTACTTTACGTATTATCTTTAAAAATAATATTCATAAAACGTATAATTTTAACGCCAAATCTCAAAGGATGTTCATATCAATTAAAGAACGGTATCCTAACAATAGCGGCGAAATAGATTGTTATTGTCAAGTTCCTGCGCTGATCGTTTAAACACTTACAAATATTCAGAAAAGCTGGAAATCTCCAATGTTGTTCGGGGTGCGATGCGGCAACGGGTTCCGCTTGATGCACAAACGCCCAGTTCCTGCTGCCGGGTTATGTCAAAATCAATAAGTAGACTGACTAATAGACTGTTTAGAGCAGAAGTGAGTATAATAATAATACTTGTAAGAGCAATTTCTTATTGACGCTAGATATCAGCGCTTCGACGAATCGCAATGTTAGCGTCGGCATTGAGCCCGACCGTCTTAGTACACCATATGGATAAGCAATGATTACAACTCCCTAAATTTTTATGCCTTTACAAATCTCCTACCAGAACAATGTACGGGTAGTACAATAGCAACAGTCACAGTAAAGCTGGAATGGTAGAACTGCTCTATTATTTAATACCTCGGGGGCAAAACTGCGACCTTTTAGTTGCCCGTAATTGGTACGATGATGATATTGCGCGCTGCTGAACTAGCCTGAGAATGCGAGTTGAGTCCACACCTAAACTTGTTTAATGTTTGAAGTCGGTAGTATGGATCAGGTAGTATGGATTATGCAAAAACTAGCCCTAAGGCTTCTTCTCCTTCACTATCGCCATGACCACCAAAAAGACAAGAGTAGTTGAAGTGTATTGAATCAGTTTCAACTTCGGCCTAGCTGTTTACGGTCCTTCGCGGCTAACCATCCCTTGAAATAATAGGAAAAGCCTTTTTTTTTCTCGGTGGTCTTTTACCGCTGAAATATCGCAACATGCATAGATACACAAATCTTACAGACACAGCGTGACATCACACCATATCTTCTTTAAATCTCTTTCCCCCCATCCTCTGCAAGCGTTCTCAAGAAAGACGCTCTGACAGTTTATACTCTTTTTCTACACCTTTTTCTGCCCTATTTCGGACCTGGTGGCAGGAAATTGCAAGACGAAGTTGTCGTGCTACTCACTTCGGGTAACGGCCGGCCGCTCTGAAAACCACTCAAGCCTAATCACCGCCGTACATCTTCGTCGACGGTTCTGCTAACGAGAAACGATAGTGCCGTTTGGTTTTACCTGTGCTGGACTATTTAGTGACCTCGCCATCCAAGCCCCAGGACTAAGCGGACCGACTCGGTGAGTCCTGTAGCAGGTTTTCAGCGGTTTCCCGCTTCAAAAGCGGGCGCTAGCTAGTTACTTTCCATACTTTGGGGTTGCCGCCCACAACCAGTACGGCCAAGCAAGACAAATGTAGATGAAACAAAAGTAACCACTGAATCTTAGCACTCCCGACTGCTGGTCAACGGTTGCCGAAATCCATGGAGAGCGCGAAGCCTTTGTGCTTTTAGAACAATAGTAAAACTCACATATATATAGTCACAGATATTGTCATTCTCGTAGAAACGCTAAAGGTCTTATTTCCTTTTAGCTTTGCCTTCTTTTGTTTTCCTTTTAGCTGCGTTCCACAACTGTCATAGTCTCGCGCTGTATTCGACGATCAAGATGGCATACAATTGCTCTTGCTACAGTTGCTGGTAGTTTGGTTGCTGCTGCTGTCGCTGTTGTGACGTTGAGCGTAATGGGTGTCTTTCTCGACTAGAGACTTAGTATGTCCAACTGTGTGTCTGTGTGCGTGCATATGCATCTATGTGGCTATTTTACTGCTTTCAACACATGGCCTGCAGTGAGACCCAACCAGCCCAACGACCGCAGACCAGTATTGTCCCGCGTTAGTCTCACGATCAAGCCCTCTGACAAGCTGAATGAACGCAAACATTATAGCCCCGGAGCAGCTACTCCCCAGCCATCGACAAGTTTCAAAAGAAAAGAATGGGAACAAGGACGCATTGGATGCCCAAATAGTGAGAGCTCTAGCTGCTACATCCTCAAGCCGAACGTTATCCGCGACCGCGGATGACCGGCTGGATCGTGGTAGTGCTGTTGCTAAGTGTGGGCGGGTAGCTACTAAGAAAACTATTGCGATCCATCGATATGGATACAAGTATGTAGTAGCTCGGTCCACGAGACGGATTGGAAGCTTAACCAACAGCTCCCTTCTGTAGAGCTCGATCAGTGACACTAGCCGTTCCCCCACACGGAACAGCTACCGCTACAGGTGCGCTATAGAGACAAAAACACCTTTTAGATAGATATTTGCCAGATAACGACCTCCCACTTGGTATCTTGATGTGATTGCTGTTGTTATTTTTCCTTTTCTTTGCTTGCAGATGTGATCAATGGGGGAAGCGACGTATAGCAATAGCAAAGCCGGTAGATAGTATATATAACGATATATACTATTCGCCTTTTTTCTCTCTCTCTCTTGTATATAGATATATATGTGTATATGAATATATACGTATATATGGATAGAGAAGGGGCACAGCTAGGATACAGTTTCCACTCGAAACTATTCCGTATCTAGTAGAGAAAAACTAGCTATATAGGTAAACACAGAGCCATGTAGTAGCTTTAGCGACAACAGTAGTGGAACAAAAGCGTAGCTTAGTTCATATAGTACCGTGTTTATCGGCCGCAGAAAGGGAGGGAGGTGGGGTAGAGAGAGCTGAGAATTGCCAATCCCCCATATAGGCACCCGAGTGCTATTGGCTGCTCGTCTTATCCCAAGCGGTTGAATTGGCCATCGCTACTTCGATTTCTTACCCATGTCCGCCATGTCCGAAGCCCTTCCTCGGTGTTGCGGATCTAGTGAGTAGCAGTTTTCTGTCGCACACTGGCCTCCTCTCGCTACAAGGCACTCACATGTCCATTTCGAAGAAAGAAAGGCGAGAAAATGACCAAAAACTTTATACCTTCGTCCTCCCAGCTATCCATCTATTTCGTTTCGGTTCGAATCTCTAGCCTTCTCTGATCCTTTCTCAGTTCGCCCGTGGCGAACCGATCGGGCAAACGCAGCTCAGCACCAAGCCTGCTTATGCCGTCTTTTCGATGTTACTTCATCCCGTATCCCATTTTACCTAGATTTTGGGTTCTTTCTTGGCCAATTCGATATCCTTATTTCCCTATTCCAGCGTTACCGCATGTTGCTGCTATTTTACCTCTGTAGCCCTTTTTCCGAGCCTGTCGGCTTAAATCCACCTCTTTTCCCTCCTTTCTGTAGTAGAGCTTCTGAGCCCACAGGTGCCACCTTATCTACCGACGTACGTCTGATATTTTTTTGAGCTCCATCCTGCCATCGTCTCCGATTTACAAGGCCTGCTGTCTGATTCAACCGTCTTCCTTTGATTATCTATCGGTCCTGGCTCGGCTTATTCCTTTCTGCCCGTCTATTTCTCCTGAGTCGTCGTCCGCTCGATGGCTGCTAAAGGACCATAACCTAAGGCCTGGTACCACCCCACCCTGCGAAACCAAGGGTGGTAGACCGGTTTATAGCAAAATGACCACTCGTAGTATTGCCCTTCAGCGAGGCATCACCCTTTTGCCTTCCTTATTATCATCTTGCATCACAGCGAAATTATTGAGATATATGACTAAGACATGGATACAAGAGTTGGAGTTCAAGGATGTGTTTCACCACATCAAAGGAAGATAATCACGTCGGTCTACATCTCCCATTTATTGGTCACTGGCTTCGAAAAGGGCCATGGCACGCACGGTTGTTGATTGGATGGGTGGTTAATATTGTGGACGCTTTGCTACTTCAATAGCTTGTTCATTGGGCAGGTCCAAGTATTGAGATGAATACATCGTGTGACCCAGACGCGTGCGAGTACGATACTCTTTATGTCAAGGCGTGCACACGTAGCGAAGCGTGAACACAGTGATATAACAAAGTCCATAATATATGTGCAAGACGCTTGACACTAATATCTCGACGACCACCGGGTGCAAGCTCTGCTAGTTCTTCGCTGAACTATCATCATCATCGCTATTGTTGAAAATTGAAGTGTACGCACTTACGAGAGTACCATATTTATTAAATCTATAATACTCAGACAAAGAAGATACATAAAGTCGTATACTAACATATTATTTTTCAGCGTTTAAGAGCTAAATGGAACACTGAGTTGTCTTCTTATGAGTCTATAAAATCGAAATCTTTTCACAAAGACCAGACACATGACCGTCAGATATACAGAGTTTTACAAGTCAGCTGTAACATACGTGTTTATCATATATATTTACTTGTGCTTCCTGTCTGCACTGTGATGCTGTAGTTAAGCAATATTCCGATTGCAAACACCTCCTTTTTCAGATTTGTGACCTTTGTAACTCAGTTGTTGATCTCGCGCTGAGGTAAGCCGCGTTCATTCTCCACTCACCAACACCAGAATTTCCTACACGTAAGCAGCCTCAGGAGATCCCGATGCGTTGAGTTAGCATAACCGATACTTGTGATCGTGCTACCACGTGCAAGAAGTCTCTCTTTTTCCTTGTTCTCTAATTAGCTAAGACCCAGAAAAAAAAAGGTGCAAGACAAGGTAGTTATCGGGGAAAAATTAATGCAATCATTTTCACGTCGATATAGCTGATTCAATTCTAGTCCAAACCGCAATTCGTTTAATCCAAACACTTTTCACAAACGCAAATAACCACTAATGGAGGCATTGTAAGATGGTCTTTCTGTCACTATTTATAGTAGTTTATCTGTATAAAAATAACCTAACCGACTCCGATGTATAACAGCGGTGACCGCCTTCTGTGACAGCTCGTATGAGAGTATGTCCCACAATGTCAGCCCAGAAACAGCTATATAATACATGCTGTTTTTCATTCGAAAGTGAATAGCAACTTTCCCTATTGAGAAAACAATAGGCTATCATTATTATTATACAAATACCGTTATAATAATGGTAGTCGTAACTTGCGCCCATCATCGTGTTACCACAGCTCATAATAGATACCCTTATATATATATATATATATATATATATATATATATATATATATATATATGTATATTTATATATATAGTCACCTAAGACACATATGAGTGATAAAGATTTTATAGAAGTTGATGTTCGTGTATATATATAACACGCGGCCTATACACGTACAGCGCAATAATCAGCATGAAGTTAAGTGACGCCGTGCAACGAATCACAGACAGATGATGCTATATCTTCACTTAGGAAACGTGGCCACATATTTGCCATCGTGACTTTGCCCCGTTCCTTGCATCTGCTCTAACGCGATTAGTCCGCTTTGCTGTGCCATTCGTTTTTCATCTTGTTGCCCTTCTGCCAAACGGTAATCGAGTACCCTAAATATAGAGGTACGCTGCTTGTCCTCTCCGGAGTAGAGCCCATGGTGAGATAGCGCAATCGACTTCTTTCTATACTATTTTGCTCTATTATAGAAAAGCGCTACACATTCAAAGTTTGCTTGCGACGGACTCTCATGTGGCGTCGGAGACGGAAACGGCACAGCTGGTATTCCCGCTTCCCTTCGCTCTATGTTTTATTTTCGAAAGGAGTTAGTTGTCTGCCAACATTGTTTGTTCAGAAAGCGGAAGCCGACCGGGAAGGTGCGTGACGCACTGGGGCTGCGCTTTGTCTTTAAAAACATTGTTAACCCCCCGTCGATTTCCGCTTTCCCAAATTTTCTCCAGAATGTCCCTTCGTCCCCGTTCCGAATCAACGAGGACATGGATATGCTTTAAGATCGCTACCTGGCCTAAGGCAAAAGAATTTTTTATCCAGTTAGGCACAAGGCTGAGCTTCGCCGAATTTAACACGGCTACTGCTACACCGTAGCCGGCATGCGGTTCGATTAGGCAGCCAGCTAATCGACGCTTTGGCGTTCTCACCGTTCAAAAGCAATGTTGACGCCGCTTAAAGCCGCCTTCTACAGCTGCTGTGTTCATCTGCTGTTCGGTTCAATGGCGAAGGTAGCGGTAGAGGTAGGGGACGTTTTCAGCAGCATTTGCTCTCCGAAAGCCACAAGTCCAAAAGAAAAAGTTTGAACGAGCAGATATTTCGCTCACTGCAGTTGGCACTCGACAAATTTTTCTCTTTGTTTGTTTGTTTGTTCTTTTGCTCTCGTAAGTCAACAGGCTGCGGTGCTTCTATGGTTCGAAAAATCTGTATCCAGCTGAATTGGGTCAAAAGTTTGCTACTGGAGGTTAATACCGATCGTGTAACGGGCTGTAGAAATTCCACCTTACACGTTTGCTATAAGGGGAAGGGAGGCTTCACGCCACGTAAACGATGCTATTCCCTTTATCAGCGGTATTGGACATATTAGGTGGTGTACAGAATGTGTACATCGATAATATCAACGGCTGGATGAGCAGATGCCACTAATTGAACTATGGATGATCATACGCGCTACCAAACGATAAAAAAATTTTACTACCGGACAAATGTTCCTGCCTACTGGATTTATAGAAACGTAATCATTTTCTAGGTGGGCATATGTGGGCACTTGTCTTGTTTGTCTGAATAACAGACCGCACGCGTGTAACGATGTGTGTCGTCAAATGCAGATTTTATATTACGTGCCTAGAAGACGCTGCATAAACAAACCAACAACAGTGAATGACTGTATAGCAAACACACTGAACATGTACGAATACATCTAGTTGGATATTGTTTATCATGGCCTATTTTTGGGTCCAAATTTTTAAAGTGCCTAGTTACACCAAAAAACCTTCATTAGAGCATGGTCGGCCGGTATAGTTCAACTTATCGGATCACCTAAAAAAGGGAATGAAAATTTTCGGAATGCCACACGTGCGCAATTTTAGTCGGTACGAAGTTGCTTTTTGAAATCTTTATTGGTATTAAAGGTGCGAACGGGCAGAGTTTGAAATGTATAATTTACAAAGCTTGAAGATTTTTTGCAACTGTTTAAAATATCGGCCATTTTTGTGCTTTAGGCACGTTTTTGGTTATACGTCGCACAAGACAGTGTATATATGGATATGACTTCCCTTACTCATATTAGCTATGTACGATTTATGCGTAGCGAGCGAAACCCGCAGTAACGACTGCAGTCTCTTTCAATCAGAAACTTTGTCGTCCGAGCCCTCGTGTCGTCATGCATGTATGCTTTATGTATACACATTGTGCAGATATAAATCTGAAGACTGTTAAGTAACTTGACGCAGGATGTATATGCCGCAGTTTTAAACACTGACCTTGTTAAACGCATTTTAAGGATGAAATAGGTAATAGTAGTTTACAATGCATTTTTCCTTCAATACCACAACTATCGACTGATCGAATCATATCTATCCAGATCTATATCGTTACATAAATACACGCGTTTTATGAACCTGGTATTTAACAGCATTTGCATTAATTGCATCAACCAGTTAACATTACGACAACAGAATTGTGACGCAATGGCCCATTTTCTCAAAAGGCGGCCTGAATGATTAGTTGTGCTGTACGCTTTGATGTATATAAATTTATGCGGTTATACTACATAGTCAACTCAAAGCCTAGAAGCTTAACTGTGTTAAAAGTTGTCGCCAACCCTGTTTATGTAGCACGTATTTCTAACGCTTTTACGCCGATACGTGACTTCTCCATCTAAAAAAAGATTTAAATGATTGACTTCAACTAAAAGCAAAAGCAGTCGCTTACTGAGACCCACCTTCCCCCTTTCCTTAATGTATTTTGAAGATCTTCTTTCCTTTGCTTCTTCTAGAAACGCTCTAGACGACAGACTTAATATGTTAAAGACAACTGACGACTAAATGTGATATACTTCTCAAAATTAATTAAAGTCTACTAAACGTTATTTAAACTTTACTCGAAAATAAAGTACCGTATTATTATTATATCGGGTTGTAGCGCGTGTTGTGTTAGCACACGTTATGGCTGCATTACCTTTTGATCAGTGTGCTTTAGGAAACGACAAAATTCCCTCCACCGTGAACCCTTGTCAATAATGTACATTATCGAACCGATATTTCTGCAATGACGCACAAATCTGAACAGTCGGATTTGTTTTTTTATCACGTTCGTATTTTTCCTCTCTTTTACCGTCGTCGTCGTCGTCGTCGAACTTATTCGAGCCCAAATTTCCCGCTCGCATGGTGTAAGTCAAACGAAAGCGGCGAGTTCTACGAAGCCTTCTTTTAATTTTTTTGTCATCTACCATGTGTCGCCTAGCTTCGTGGCCTTCCATGATCGTCATGTTAGTGCTGCTCGCGTATTCTCAACCTTACACGTAACCCACCCATAGAATAGAGCCGGATCAGACCACACCGATAATGCAGCGGAGATCTATTTAGCATCAACCACTGGGTCTTTCCCACTGTTTTCTCTTACGGCTAGTACACTATCACTCAATGCAGCCCCTGCCAACCATCAACAACAAACGTATACACGAACGGTAACCGAATCGGCGCGCTGCATAGAAATATCGCTGGAGCCAATTGGAGCGTACACAGTCTGTACGTGCCCTAGAAAAACTCCAAGCCAACGTTAAGGCTGTGCTCTGGTACACGACGCGATGTTGCGCAGTGTTATGTCAATTTGAGTCGGAATGTACTTGAGAGTCTTGACTATCTGCAGATGAATGTGTGTGTATATGTATTTGCACATATGAGCTATCCCTCTATTTTCTCTAGTTCTCCCTCTGCCCATTTCCTTCTCGTTTTTTGTATTTACCGATTTATTCCCGACTGCTTAGATTGTAGCTAGTGCTCTCAGCGCGCTTTCGGATCCGTCTCGGATAATAAAAAAAAAAAAAGGAAAAATGACAACGACAAGATCTTAACGTTCTTCGTGCTCCACTGGATTCTAGCATTGCCTGTGATATCGTAGTCCTCATAGCCTGACTCGAACAGTCGTTCGAGTTGCCGTTCTCCTTAGACCACATAACTCCAATACACCTTTTGGAGTTAACGTCAACGTTAACAACAGCAGAAGTGTAAACACGCTTTAGTTAATCCTGTGGCATTCAGCCTGCGCTCGACTAGGACTAGCTGCCTGATGGGCTGGGTTAGTGACTAGCGTCCGATGTTACTTGTTCTATCTGTCCAGCTGACTTGTTTTAGCCTTTGGCTAGATGCCAGATCCACCGTCCACGGTCTTACAGCAGTGCTGACTGTCCGTCGTCTGCTGCTCCGATAGCGTTTCCCATTCCTTTTCATCGTCAGCGATAGCAGGGACGGCCGCTACGGTGGTCACAAAGCCCTTTCTCACGTCTTTTTCTTTTCGCATTTTTGTTTTCTTTTTTTCCAGTTTTTCTCATCTACTTCGCTCCGTTGTCTTTCGAGATACCTCCTATGTAGTCCTGTCGGTTTGCCGGTTACGGCAGTCCAACTTGGCAGCAACGAAACCATGGTGATGGCAGGAGTGTTTGCATTCATCTCATGCCTGGACAGAATATGCACATATCATAGGTCTTATATTCTTGGAGGCCGCTTAGCCAGATTTTGTACAGGTACGCTGAATATTGACTATTTATATATATATAGAATTGAACAAATAGAGGTGGGCAGCTTGCTTGAGAGAATATCACCTTGCTATGGACTATTCTTATCTAGTCGGTATTAATCGATATATAACATAGAATAAAGGCGAGCTGCCGAGTGATTTGACAGAATGATTCATTCCTGCGTCTTCGTGTTGTTGCTTTACCTACTGGCCTCGCTCTACCATCGTAAACAAAATCTCTACCTATTGGTGGCCCCGGTAGAAGAGGGCTTTACGTTTAAGGTACTGCTGCTGTCGCCGTCGAACTTTTTTTTGGAACAATAGAAATCCTATGGCCATTGTCAGTGAGAGGCTATCCAATGGAAATAGCGATGCTATCGTTAGCTTCAGAGGAGACTTGCTCTCGTGAAATGAAACGACACGGTCATTGGCACTGACCATTGTCGTTTGTGGTCATCAACTGCTCTTAAAGGAGCAGCGAGGCCAACGACTCTGCTTAAGCCGTTGCAGTTAAACTGTAGTGGAGTACGTCTGCTTGTAGCTATGCTGCTAAAATAAACTCATTACCGTTCATAGTATCAATACAGCGGCACGTTTGTTGACCGTTCCGTAGAGTTAGAAGATCTATGGATGTGCCAACAACGTTTTGTGTTGGCTACTCGCGGTTTTGCGGGTACGGTTCAATGTGCTCGCGTCTGCATTCAACTTCGTGCGAATATATGGCAGCGTGAGCCATCGAAAAATCCACTGAATATATGATTACTCATCAAATTCGGGCAAAGGAAGTTCCACAAAGTGAACAGTAACGCCGCATTTCCAGAGGAACAGTAACAGTGGTATCAAAACGAGAAACATCGCCGTCGATCGATTAATTTGCCTAATTCGTAGATCGGCAAAAATTGACGGCGGATCAATCGTACTGATAAACGGCATTCTCGATATTTGTCAATGTTGATATGGCGCTGCCAAAATATTTCTACTATAGAGTAAGCTTTGTGTGTGGACGACTGTGGTCTCAAACAAAGAAACTTCTACGGTGTGTCCAAACAGATTGTAGAGAAAATATAATGTACGCACCACGATCAATTGATCTTGTTTCGCTTCCAGAAAGGTGTACCCTCCGATACTGGATCAGTATCTGTATAAGAAATCACTACTCGAAACAGCCAACGAGGTTGCTCCGCGTAAAAAGAAGAAAGTAACCGAGGGTGTCCGGACGGTAAATTTAAATGAAACAAACGACTTTATTGAGTTAAAAGTTATTGTCAAGACATATCGTTGTATTTGCTGTTGGGTTATTGTAGACTCCCAGCTTAGATACCAACAGTGTTGGAATGGCATAGGCCTATTTTAGAGTTATACTAAATAATAATTAGTTAATATGCCTCGATACGAAGTCGAGCACGATGAATAGGTCTGAAATATATATCAAATGATCGCTGCACCTCTAGCGATATTAATTGTTTTCTATTCTCGTCCAGTGTCTCGTCTGGGACCTGATATCGTACCGTTTGCTGTCGTTGCAGGCACTCAACGTGCAGGTGGAACCGTGAAGTTAATCCAAAGACGGGAGACGCACGGAGCCGAACTTCATGTCACGTCATATCACACATGACAGGACCTGCTTAAATCAAGTTTTTTTTGTGATCCGTTTTATACACGTGCGAACTAGCACAGACACAATCCAATCAAAGCACCTGCACCCGTGTATAAATTGCACTATATAGCTGCACTGAAAGCTTTCCTGGGTTTCTGGTTTCTCTTTTTCAGTCACGCACGACTTACGTGCGTGCGTGCGTGCGTTTCATTGCTGTATTGATATTCGTTTTCTTCATCTGAATGCACTCACTGAATAAAGGCCTATGAAATCTTTACCAGGACCCTCATCAACGAATCACCAAAAACGCTGTCGGCCATAGATGAAAGGATGTCGACGGTGCTTGTTGTTGTTGCTGTCACACAATCCATATGGGCACGGAAAAATTCACTCTCGGGAAGTCCTTTTGCCTGCACTTGTCACACTTTTGCAACGGCTTTGAGACGACACAACAAAAAATGAAACCACTGTGACTGCCTAAAGCGCAAATACACTATTACAAAATCCTTCGATTCTGCTGCCAATTCTGACGTTTTTCATTGGGTCGTTAATGGCTGTTTGTGCGTCCACCAAGTAGAGCCACTCATAACCTGAGAAGAAGGCAATTGCCAGTAGATACAACGGTTAACAATAGTCAATATGTAAGGCAAGCAAAAAAAGGGACAGGTGGTTCAGTGATGCATCTAAGCAAATTTTGTGATTAAGATCAAAGTGACAGGAATTGATATTGACAGTAGCACAGCTGTTACTCAATCATTCACTTACGAATTAATTTTGGTCAAACAACAATAGTAGGGCTCCGTGTATTAAGGCGGAAGCAAGCATGTCACTAACGCGTAAGCATCATCATTGCCACCGGTCTCCACAAACACGTTGGCTCTATGGGAACGCACATACATGTGAAACCGAAGCTATTTCTTCGTCGTGTGTATTGCTTAGTATCATCCACTGGCTTGTGCAGATTTCGCTGAAATGTGGTTTTTCCTATTATTATTTTTTGACTGATTCACACTTTTTCTTCCTTATACCCGCTCGCTCATCCTTCTCCGACTGTGCTTTTGCTGGGTTTCGGGTGCGATTATTGAGAGAAGCCTAGCTGCGGAGTTACCTTGTGGCTGTGGAATTTCAAAGGCCAGCAGCCGTCGTAGCGGCATCGAATGAAAAACTGTCACTGCTGTTCCTGATAAAGAGGCATATCCAGTACAACGAGGATGAGAAATGTTACGCAAGGTGTTGATGACACCGATACAGAAAACACAAGCAGGGGTTAAGGTGTGGGCACGACACGTCAACAACGTGAGCCGCTTGTTGTAGTAGCATGCAGCATGTGGCAGCCCCGCATGTGGCAAACAACACACGCCCGTAGCCCGCCGAGTCCAGGGATAAACTGGAGAGCGCGCATCGAAGGAAAGGGAACGTTCCGGGGGAGGAAGCACCAAAATCGGCCGAGTGTGTCGTGGCGGGCGTCGATGGGTGAGGGTAAAGGGAGTATGCTGTCCAGAGGGGCAGTTAGTCGAGAGAGGCAGAGCAGAACACCGTTGGCGAGCGGAACACAGCTACGGAGTACGGACGACCGATAAGAAGAAGGCAAGGATGGCGCTCCTTTTCTAGTCCTGAAGTGCAGATAGCACCACGGATACGGGCTATGGGTCGGTCCAATACAGCAGCAGCGATACGATGGCGACGCGCGAAAAACAGCATTGACGATCACCACCGCGAACAGCGGCACCAACCACAGTCAGCAGCAGAAGCCGCGCGACTTTGCCGTTGTGCTTTGTGAGTCTTCCCTTTCCTTCTTTTGAGACCTAGCGCACGAGCGCGCGTGCAAGAGAGAGTGTCAAGTACGACGTGAAATGGAAAGAAATAGAGAGAGAATTTGGTCTCTTTACCACCCTTAATCTATCTCTTCCTCTCCCTTTTCCTCGTCTTCCCCTTACTCTCGGCCTGATCTTATATATCTCCCTCCGGTCTTCTCAACTGTGTGTTGTACTGCGCCCAGCGAGTCGCCCTCAGGCTGACTCCTCTCCTCAAACCCCATGCTTGTTACCTCTATCCCAAACCTATCTCGATGCCAGCTAGCTTGAACCAGCCCCAACTAAGATCCTTGCCACCTTTTTCTCGTCTCGTTCTCCCTTTGCCGGGCGAGTGGAGAGCTCTTCTGCGGCCTTGTTGTCGTCTTAGCGGGTCCATCTTGTTTGTTGGCAACGCGATTGGCACCCACCAAACGGACGGCCTTCTCCGTTCCTTCACATTTCCACACACATGCATATGTACCGACAGATATATTGCTCTCACTAAGTCCTAATCGGGGCTGGCTACGCTGACCAATCAATGTAGCTCTCCCTTTACGCTGTGCCATGATCCTTTTTTTCGCATTGTTCTCCTACCCCGTCAAGCATCATCCTCGTCAGGTTTCATGGTCGTTACAGTCACGACCGTGGAACCTGGTCACTAACTGGTGGTCGTTTGCTGTTGCGGCTGCTACTGCCGCTGTTCTTATCTACGCCGTCTATGGAGCCCCGTTCCGCTTGCTTACTTGTTACCGGTAAGGCTGGCGTACTGCTGGGTACCGTTTGGCCTTTCCTTCATTCGTTTGTGTGGTCCCTGTCTTCGTTTTGTATGACCATCCATTCTCTTCATTTGTTTTACTTTTCTATCTTTCTCTTGTTAATTCCACTGTCTACTTTCGGACTCACTTCCCTTGCTATCCCTGATAAACAGGCATATCCAATACTGTTGCTCTTAGACGACGCAAAGAACGAAAGGGGGCGGGGGGGAGGGTAGCAGCAAAGCAGCGCATCCTATTTCCTCGTCTTAATCAGTCTTTTTACATGGTTGTTTGTCTAGCTGCCTGTTCACCCGTCTCTCCCTTAGCAACACTCGCTTTGATGATTATCCACACACTGGTGCACGACCCACGCACCAGTTATCGACCGACCAGCCAGTGCAGATAAAAAACAAACCGCTATGTTCATTGCTGTCTGCGTTTTCGGAAATCCGTAAGATGACGCACGGGAAATTTGGAGAAATGCAAAGTACTTTCCTTGTAGGATCCTTGTCATACGCCCTGTTTGTCTGTATGGAGATGAAAGATGCCACTTGCTTTGTATGTATAATACAGCAGCGTCGTGCCCATACGGGACGGCGTTATCACCCGTTTCATGTAGACTGCGAATATCGCCGCGGATCGTCTTCTCGTGTTGCTTTTTCCCAGAAAAATATGTATGAAACGGAGTAAAAGCGCGAGAGGATAAGCAATCTCAACCACGAACAGCTAGAAGGAGCGCTGTGAACAAATGAGACTAAGAAAAAGTAACTATTCCAACAACAGACAGAATAGAGCTTCCGTGTGGCCTTATTCCGCGTCATGGCTGGGCCTGGTCTCTGTTCGTTCTAGCATTGCGGCAGATGGCGGACAGCGCGTGAAGCTACTCGCGAATTCGTTCCGTTTGCTTCTTCTACTCGTGTCCGCCCCGCGTAATATAAATGGTCGCCGAGATGATGGGATGAAAATGTACGCGAGGCCATATATAAGAATGGGAAGGATGGAGTACACGGAAAACGGAACAATGAAGCATTGAGATTGCAGATACGTACAGATGGTAGAGGTGATGGTGGTGGGGGCAGCGGCTGCGACAATGGCGCTGCCGGCGCCTGAGGGAAAGTGACAAAAAGATCGGAAAAGATTTCCCTGCTTTTTTCGGTTGGCCGGCTTGTCGTCTTGTCTCTTCTCCTTTTCTTCATCTACTAATTCTTCTGCAAATGAAAAGAAACGGAAGACCACGCTGCAGTCGCCGAAGGGTAAAAGCGAGACTGGGCTCCATTTCTCTTCATCGAATATTGAAGAGGTCGGTTTAAAGTAGTGTTGGACACAGGCATAGCGAAGACACCAAACACGTTGCAAGGCAGGTACAACAACCTTCTTTGCTGGCTCTCTTATGCCCGGTCTTTCTTCGCAATGCGTCGTGATTAATTGAGAAAACGAAAAAAGCAGAGGCAAGTACTGAAAATACACGCTCACCGACAACAGCAAAGTACGTCTCAACCTAGATACATCGATAACGCATCAATTCACAGACGAGATTGTTCCGTCACTTGAGAGTTTAACGCTATCGTTAACAGCATTGCCATGAAAAATGAGCAAGAGGATCGTACCGCTTATTTGCTGTCTCGAGGTGCCTGGTCTCTTTACAACTATTTATTGCAAAAAAGAAGGAAACGAAACTTAGAGAGCTTTGTAGAGAACTGTAAACAATTTTAAGTGTCAAAATAACTCACTGTGAGCTAATACTAAACATGCTACGCCAGAAAGATTCACTCACGGGCATCAGTTAAAACTCAAAAAGACGATGCCATTAAAGAAGCAATTTGTCACTGAACTCAACCTACATTTATTCCGAACGAAGTATCAAAGGCTGCATGTGATATGTTGTGTGTAAAGGGGCAAGGCTAGTAAGGCAAAGTAAGTAGAATCCATCGAGGCCTTTCCCACGAGTTTTCCGCGATTCACCGCTATGTAGGCATCAAGCATATCGAATGGATCTGTTTGTAACGGCGAATATGCACTCAAGGCGGAGAAGCCGACCAATCGTAGCCATAGAAAATCCAGTGCAAGTACGGGTAAGCCTCAACTTACCAACCACGTTGGATGAACATTAGCCCCTTAGCCCCATTTTACCTACTCCCGGATAATTCTCAACGTAGTCACAAGTCCGCCGGTTCGCTGCCTTCTGGGCTGAGCGAATAGCAGACAAACGTGTTTTGGTAATATATCTTCCTCAGAAAGGCTCATCCGTCTTGAGTGGTGGCGCCCTCTAGTGCGGCTTATATCAGACTTGTACCCTACAAATGGCCAACAACGAGGTATAAAAACAACGTACACGTGTATAGAGGTAGAAGCATCTCTGTATCTCTTGTATGTACACTCTGGTTCATGTCTTTCGAGTATTGTAACAACGCTTCTCTCACGTCACAAAACTTTGAACGCTTACA